ATTAAAACTCTGAAAGAGCCTCTGAGTAAGAATAACCCAATTTTTCAAAGTGAGGAGCTTGATAAGTAAGACCATGTGGCTACCAGTCCTGTTTCAATTAGCCTATCAGAGCCAATTCTGATGTTAAATTTGCAAATTGGTTGATAGTCTGATAAATAATTTGCTTCCTAGTTAATTAAATACAGACCACCCTGAAGTATCTCTGTCTGTCTTTTAAAAATGAAATTTAAAATTGCTTTGAAACATTCTTCATGAAAATAGAAAATAGAGTTAATTTTTACAGTCAAAACACAACATTGAGATACAGAATACAATTTTCTTTTACAAGAATTTTCTACACACTTTCCTAGAGTAATAGAATATCTGGGTTTAAAGGCTCAGATGAAACTTTTAAAACATCTTAACTCATTTTACTGATTAACTAAATTTCAGAAAGGAATATATTATGAACAATGAAGTCAAATTGTTTAATGCATAAATCTGTTATAAGAAAGAAAAATTTCTAACAAAACTTTAAGGTTCTTAAAAAGGCTAAATTGTTTGGCCATTACAAGCACAAAAGCAGCTCTTCCAGATTCAGCTACCATCTCCTGCCCAGAGCCAACCATAACAGGCAATCAGAGAATAGCTGCTGAATCAACCAGATGTAAGCAATAAACCTACTTCATGGACTTAAATCAGATGTAGACTTTAGTAAAAATAATTAAAGCACTTTGTTCCTTTAACAATGATGTTTCTCTTTTTTTCTGTGGATGATAGATGTAGATGTTTGATTTTTGTTAGCATTTTAAACTATTGTTTTATTACTAGAGAGTCATTCAGCTTTACTTAAAAATTAAAATATAATGATATTAATAGCAGCAGCAGCAGTAGTAGTAGTAAGAGTAATCATAAAAGTAACAATGTCTAATACTTATATAGCACTTAACTAAGTGCTGGGTACTGTTCTAAGTGCCTTCTGTATACTAATACATTTAATTCTTAGTTATTCCATGAAGAAGGTATATTATTTTCTCATTTTACACATAAGGACATAAGGTAGAAAGAGGTAAAGTAATTTATCCACTATCCCATGGCTAGTAGCAAAACCAGAATTCAAACCTACACAGCCTGATTTCAGAGTAAAAGTAATTCTTTTTATTGGCGGAATTAAACTAACTACATATAAATAATACTGAGGTCATAAAAACAAAAATACTGCATAATTATGAAATAAAAAAGTAAAAAAAAAACACAAAAACATTCACTTGTTTTTCTTCCTTTTTAAAACCTGAGTCTCAAGATGACAATGTACATTTCAATCTGCACATATAAAAAGCCACAAATGCCTCAAACACACCTTATTATTATTTTTCCCACCATCTAATCCACAAGCGAGGCACTCTTTTTTCTAGCTGTCGTAGAAGTGAGAAGAAAAACCACCGCATCAATACAGATTAACTATAGGACTGAGAACTAAGGCCACCTACATACACATGACTACTATTTGTGCCAAGAAATTCTTGCCCAGAAAGATAAGGATGTAAATCAGTAAAGAACTTCATTGTTTGCTTCAGGAACTTCCCCCAAATCCATTAATCCCAACAATAGACTAGTCTAACAGCTCCCTTTTCATAATATTCCCCCAGCTGGGCAAACAACTCATTTATTAAACAACTGTGTATTTACAAGACTTGGTTAAGATCCTTAACTCACAGTTTCCACTAACCCTAAACTACTATGTCATGAACTTTGCCCAGTCTCAATCAGATCACTACATTGAAAGACACCTTAAACCTCTCAAGGTTAGATTCCAAACTCTGCAATACCTTACTCATGACCTCTCCCTTATAAAGTCTAGTAAGATTCCATCCATCAGTGTTGTGCTCTCTGCTTTACTGTATTAAGCAATAAACTTACTTTTCCTTGATCAACAGGCTATCCTGGCCTTCTGTTGGGAAGTCAACAGTCAACGGAAGGGACAACCCTATTCCATTTCAGATGCTCTCTTATTAACAACTCATTTTTTAAAAAATACCTTCTTGTGTGCCTTTACCAGACTGCAGGTAAAATTAAATATACCATGAGATGGGACCATTACATAACAGAAAAAGATAAACATCAGCGATGAAAGGGGGCCAAGTGAATCTAATATTATAATAAATTCAGTGAGAGATTTAAACTATATTTCATTATAGCTGCAGTTAAATCTGAATTGTGTTAATTACACACTTCAAAATGGTCTTAAAGTATCCCAGAAATCCAGATTTTGAAAGAAAAAAAAGAAAGCCTTGCAATGCCAAAATTTATTCTGCCATCTGAGTATATATTATAAAAATTTATTTTGCTGTAATTAATTTATATACCCTAATGTTACATATCAAATATAAATATATAAAACACAGTAGTTGGCTTGGCATGGTGGCTCATGCTTATAATCCTGGCACTCTGGGAGGCCAAGGCAGGAGGATTGCTTGAGATCAGAAGTTCGAGACCAGCCTGAGCAAGAGCAAGACCACATCTCTACCAAAAACAGAAAAAATTAGCCTCTACCAAAAATAGTAAAAATTAGTCAGGTGTGGTGGCACGTGCCTGTAGACCCAGCTACCCAGGAGGCTGAGGCAGGAGGATCTCTTAAAGCCAGGAGTTTGAGGTTGTGGTAAGCAGTGATGACACCACTGCATACTACCCAGGGCAACAGAGTGAGACTGTCTCGAAAAAAAGAAAGAAAAGAAAGAAAGAAATACAGTAGTTAATCTTTAAAGAATAGCTGACTAAAACCTAACACTGTATAAATATAAAAATTATATATTATAAAAATTAGCCATTTTGACATCACTGTTCACTTACATACATTATCATTTTATTAGATTTCAGTTATATTTATCTATGCAATTATTAAGGTATAGAATTTTTCTTCTAATTCCGCTTTATTTTAGTTCAGTCTCTTTCCATGCGTCACATTTTTCCTTAGAAAAGATTAAACCAGATAAAAATCTAATTGAGCCAAACGTAAGATGTCAAAGATAAGCTTTTTAAAAAATTGATGCTTTTTAAGGAAGAACTTGTCTCATCATATTTTTATGTATATATGTATGTATATACACACATATGTGTATGTATATGTGTATACATATGTGTGTGTATATATAGGTTGAATATCCCTTATTCAAAATGCTTGGAACCAGAATTGTTCTGGATTTTGGATTTTTTGTATTTTGAAATATCTGCAGATACTATGCCAGTTGAGCATCCCTACCCTGAAATCCAAGATGCTCCAATGAACATTTCCTTTAAACTTCATGTTGGTGCTTTTAAAAGTTATGGATTTTGGATTTTCAGATTAGAAATACTCAACATGCACACACAGAACTCCCCAGGTAAGAAAAATGAGTGCAACATAATATTTCAATTTTTTTCATAGATTTTTAGCACCAGCCATTCATTTCAACTATTGCTGTCACTTCTCATGGAAATATTACTAACCATGTGACTTTTTTGTGGTTATTGTTATTGGGGAAATACTGTAAAGAGCACGGAGTTAAAAAAAAAATAGGGTTTATATCTTGGATTCTTTACTCTTAATTAGGGGGAATAATCTCATGGAGCCTTAGCGTGCCTTATCTGGAAAAGAAAGATTAATCAACCTACTTGACATACTTGCCACCAAGATTAAAGGAGATTAATGTATAGGATACCAGTCTGCTATCTGGCATATATACACTGTTAAATTCTCCATAAATGTTTGTTACCCATTACGCATATTAGTTCCCTATAATTATGGTCCTAAGGATCTGTAAGATATTACAGTATTTCCTAAATAACTAAATAAATATTAATTATGCAACAAGATCTTTAAGGTTCATATCCTTTGAACCAATAATTCTACTTCTAGGAAAGTAGCCAGAGGAAATGATTAGAGATATCATCAAATATTTATGTACAAAGATATTCTTCAGAGCTTTATTTTTAATATCAAAAAACTGGAAACAACATAAGTATTCAAATATTATATCTATATGATTGCTATTAAATAAACTATTAAAAGATTCATGGAGTCTTAAAGGCAGCCCAAAATGCTCACAAACATTAAACTAAAATAGCCTATAGACCTCAGTAATGCCAACAATTACATTCATTGTATATCAGTGTACACACATGCATATACAAATGCAAAAGAAAAGGATTTGGAGGAAATGCATCAAAATATTAACAATGACTATCTCTGGATTATGAAAAAACAGATAATTGTTTCTTTTTTCTTTTCCAATTTTTCTACTATAAACACAAATCACTTTCATACTTAGAAAACATAAAATTAAAAATCCATTCAATTCTGTATATTATTTAGTATATTCTAGTTTTTTAATGGTGATCTTTTTCATTATATCCCATCTAACTTCCAAAAAAATTTGAAATAGTTGACAAAAATACATAAAACAGATTTAAATAAATAGATGAAGAAATGGAGATAAAAATAAGAACTTGCAAGTTCTCAATGTACATACATACACATGCATGTGTACGTACACATGTGTATACACACATATATGTCAGACAAAGAACTGTTTCAGACACTGAGATTTTAAGAAAATTTCTCCAACTTTCTCAGGAAGGATATATTGCAGGTATAGACATTGTTTTAAATTGTATACTAGGAGTGTTATTTAAGATAAATAAGTGAATTGCAGTTATGTGATTGGAACAGGGGAGGCAGATTAAAAGCCAAGGAATCAAGACCTATTACAGGATGAGTGAGCATGAGCATTATCAGCAACCCAAGGAACACTTTCTAGAGATGCACAGATACAAAGACAAAGAAAGACAAGGAGATTTAGACAGATTTTCCCTTATATCTTGTCACTTTTATTCTTGTGCCTTCAAAGAAAAAAATAAACGAAAATACTAAATGTATACTTTATTTGCTACATGCAAAGTATATCAAGAAAACAAACATTAGCAAAATAAGCTATCCTATTAACAAAATGTATCAGATATACTGTATCCAACACAGGGCTTACCTTCACTGACAGCATGGGGCTTAATGATGCAACAAGTACAATCGGTAAATTGAGCAGTATTTGCTGGCCCACAACCTCCACTCGAAGGAAAAAACAACTCCATTTCCTAAAGACAGAGAGAAGTGACTTTGACTATGTGATCTCTTATTTTGAACTCACAAGGTATTTCTGCAAAGGGGGAAGAATTACACAAACTACTTTTAATGTTTCATCTTTTGTTTCACATTTTCTAAAAATTAGTTTTACAAAAACTGATTAACTGAACCCCATTTTAAGACTTAGAAGAATATATAAAGGAGTATTAATCAAAAGTAATGAGAATATATTATCATTTTGTCCCAGGATAATAACTGACAAGGTCTTAACAAATTTTGAATATTGGAAGTAACCAATACAAAAGAGTTATTTTCCTCAAAACATTAGTTCATGAGATACAGATCTAATCTTAAATTTTGAATATTGGAAGTAACCAATACAAAATAGTTATTTTCCTCAAAACATTAGTTCATGAGATACAGATCTAATCTTAAATTTTTCATTTAAAAAAGTACAATAAAATTAAAAGCTCTTTATAGAAACAGATTAATATTCAGGAATCTGAGAACTATAGTTAGTTAAAATTAACTTAGTCCTAGTAGAAAATTAAATAAAATGAACTATATTTTATAGCCAGATTCAGGCTGCGTTATTTGCTTTGCACATGGTTCATTAAAATGACAGCCCAGCAATTTGAACTAGGCACAAAGATGGTCACATTAATCAGTCCTTTTAATTGTTCAGACAAATGCTTCCCTGCCTATAAGCTTTCAACTACTGTTATTTCTACTATTCTCTATAAAGCCCTCTGCTCCGAGCTCCAAAGCATCTTACCAATGTATAAAGGGCCACTTCAAACACCACTTTCTCTAGGAGGCGTTTCCTGATGCCTCCTGTATGCCCCCAAAGTTGTGGTTATTCTGGTTCTTGTGTAACCACACCAGACCAATCTGTCTCAACTTTTATTGAACAAAGTTGTGAGTTGTTTTTAAGTTGCCCTGGACCCCCAGGTTGAAGGTAATGTAACCTAAGCATGTCCAGATGAACCAAGCATGGAACCATGGGCAAAACCTAAGTGCTTGGACAGGAGAGCAGGGGCTGAATTAAGAAGCAGACATTGTATGTCAGGATTCAGGATCCAATCAGATCATACCTCCAGGCATCACCTACTGTAAGATCCAATCAGACCATGCCTCATTATCCTACGCTTATGAAACCCAACCAAGCCTTCAGTTCAGGGAGACAGATTTGAGCATCCTCTCCTGTCTCCTTGCCAGGTGACTTGCAATAAAGCGTTTCTTTTCTCAAAGGCTGGTACCATGGTATTGGCTTCTATGCACATCAGGCAACAAGCCCATTGATTGCTCAATAACACTTGCTCTCTACCGAATTACAAATTTTAAGAAAGGAACTATCCTGCACAGCTTTGTAGGACCCACAGTACCTAAAAGAATGCCTGGCTCAATGTAAATACAGTTGTCCCAAGGCATATGCTGAGGATTGTCTCCAGGGCCACTGCATATTCCCAAATCCACACATACTCAAGTGCTGCAGTCAACCCTGTGAAACCCACCTATATGAAAAGTGAGTCCTCCTTGTATCAATATATGGGTTTCTCATCCTGCAAATACTGTACTTTTGATCCACAACTGGATGGTAGAGGAGCAAACTGGGAAGGGCATGCCTTTTCTAGCATTTCTCTGCTCTCTTTGTAACAAAACTCAAAAAAAAAAAAAAAAAAAAAGCTCTTTATTCTCTGTCTCTACTTCTTCTCCTCCAGTCTCTCTTAAATCCACCACCAATCAGGCTTTCATTCCAGCAAAGCTGCTCATCAAAATCCCTAACCTCCTAACTGATCTCCCATTCCAACTTTTCCCACAACATATTTATCCCCATCCTACCTGGTGTATCCTTAATACAGCAGTCAGAATGAAACTTATAAAAACCTTAGATCTTGTCACTCCTCAACAGAGAACACTTCATGGTCTCCCATCTCATTGGGAATAAATGTCAAAGTTCTAGATGTCTTAAAAGTCCTTATGTGATCTGCCTGCTGGAAATTCCTTTTACCTAACCTCCTGCCATTTCTACTACTTAGGTTTCTGCCCCAGCATCACTGACTGGCCTTGCCTACTCACACAACAAATGTTCCCTGAACGTGGCAAATATGTACCCACCTCAGAATCTGTGCACATACTTGCATGGATTGTTCCCTCTTTTTCTGAAATGCATGTTCTCTCTCACTTCCTTCAGAGCTCTGCTCAAGCCAGAGATTGTGAGGACTTCCTGAATATCTTGTCTTTAACAGCATTCCACACTGCTATTCAACACACAATCCCTCCTACACCCTTTTTCTATTCCCTTCCCTGCTTTATTTTCTTTAGAGCACTTACCACTCAACGTGCTATATGTCTGTTTGTTTGTTTGTTATCTGACACCCCCTATTAGAAGAGATTTAAACTCTTGAGTAGGGACCTTGTTTTGTTCACTAGTAGCTTCTCAATAAATATTTTGGAATGAAATTCAGACACATAAATTCTCCACATTCTACATAAAACAAATGTATTCAGACTATGCAAATGACAAAAATGAGACTCAGAAAGCTTGACTAGCAAACCCTTACAGTTAGCAAGGAGCAAAGCCAGGATTCAAATCCACGTCATTCTGGCTCCAAAGCCCTGTACTTTTTCCATCATCTTTCTTTACAAAGTGAAAAGCAATGCTAAAATTATTCTATCTTTAGTTTAACAAATTATTTAACCAATTATCTGGCAAATTATTTAACCAATTATCTGGCTAATTATTTTTGTGTCAGCTTTCCTCTATTTTGTTTCTTGCTCAATTTTTAAAAATGGAAATGCCAGTTTTCCAAGTAGCTATTTACATATGCTAAATAAATATTTATTTAAGACAAAGAATATAAAGGTTTCACTTAAATATGTCTTCTCAGTGAAAATGAACAATTCTATTTTATGCCTTTGCTTTCTTTTTCCCTCTGTGCAGGTTGTCATTTCTGTCCCACCTATTAATCTATGCTAACATTTGAAATAGCTCTTTTACTAGGTCATTGTTATGGCAACTAACTCAAAGTCTTCACACAACAAGTGTAAAGTCACACAAAAAAATTCCATATTCCTTTGCTATTTGAGGGGCTAAAACATTCTGTATAAATCTCCTCTCCTTACAAGGGTTCATGCTATTATACTTGGCTTTTCATATTTTCCTAAATTGCCTAGTAGGAAAGGATAAATATTTATAATTTTCTAAAATATTAAAAATTCAGACTCAATTTGATAAGTTTTAAATATATAATTTTTTAACATTTTTAAACTGCTTCATAAATTTTCACCCTTATAAGATCTCATGGTAATCTCACTAAAACATCTTCACTAATCTACATTAACACTTTAATTATAATGGTACAAATATTGCTACCTGGTGCCAGTTATAAGTTCCTTCAAAGCTTTACTTGTACACAGTAATTTTAAGTGGATATCATTTTTGTAAATGTTCCAGATGAAAACAGCAACAAACATATTTAAACATCCCACTACATACTTTCCTAATATCAAATCACAAGTCTGTTCTCAGCAAATAATCCAAAAAAACTTTAAAAAGAAACATAAAGTCATATGATCAATTCACCATTATTTACAAATGTAAAAAAAATTGGAACCTAACAAAATGTCCATTCCAAATGTCCCTTACAATTCTAAAGAAATAGAATGATTAATAAATCATGTTATATACATGCAAGAGAATATTCTGTAGCCATTAAAATTTACTGGTATGATAGTAACCTGGTAACATGTAAAATAAATATATTTTATTTATATAATATATACTTAATATATATTATATAAATGCTTATATAACATATATTTAATATATCATATAATATGTATTTATATAATAAATATATTTACTATAATAAAAATATAATATTAAATTAAAAATCAAATTAAATTAAGACTATGTAAAATTATATTTACTATGTAAACTATATCAAAGGAAAGAACTAGAGGGAATATGCCATGAATAGGTAAACTGTAAACATTGCTGGAAGGATTACTGATGACAAACTTTCTTTTCTGCAATTTTGTAATTTTCTGAAGGATATCTATTACTTTCGTGTTCTAAAAGACTAACGTTTAAAACAAGGTGAATTGCTACTTTTAGCAAACACAGTGGAGAGTGGTAGTTAATCCAAGGAACTCTGGAGCTTGAGTGCCTGGGCTCGAGTTTCTGTAAGTCTCAGTTTCTGCAACAGTCAACTGGGGTGATATAAGTGACCACATAGGATATTGTGAGAATTAAATAGGATACTAAAGTGCTTAGAACTGTACTTGCAACATAGTGAGCATTCAATAAATGTTAGGTGTGTTGTCATTTTTAATTCCAAACTTTTTTGAACCTATGATCTAGATCTTGGAGATATGAAGATGAATTTTTGATATCTTAAAGGAATTTATAATCTACTAGAAGTATGGATATAAAAACAAGTACTTTCTAAACATGTTAAATCGTAATAGTATGCAACAGGTATTAAGAAAACATCAAGGAAGTACCTCACTCAGTACCTACCCAGAATCAAAAAACTGATAACAGTTGAGCAGAGCTGGCTTTTTAAAAAAAGATTTACTGAGGCATAATTTGACATACATTAAACGGCACATACTTAAAGTATATAATTTGATAAATTTTGACATATGTTTACTTCTGTGAAAAAATCACTACAATCAAGATAATAAGCATATATGGCACCCCTTATCCCTTTTGGAAATGTCTTTCTTCTGCCTCTCCTTGCCTTTCTCTTTTCCCTATAACCGTTTATCTGCTTTCTGTCCTTATAAATTAATTTCTATAATTTTATACAAATAGAATCATACAGTATGTTCTCTTTTGTCTAGATTCTTTCATGCAGCAAAATTATTTTGAGATTCATCCCTGTAGTGTATACAACACTTCATTTCTTTTTATTGCCAAAGTGTATTCCATGTATGGCTATAGCATGGTTTGTCTTCCATTCATCTGTTGATCATGTGGATTACTTCTAGTTTTGGGGTATTA